CACGTGGGGGGCTGCACGCGGGATGGGGGGGTGGGAGGGGGCAGGACACCGAAGGGCAGAGGTCTTTAAGCTTGTTTTCCTGAGTCTCGTTCCTGGCCTAAAGAGGCCGGAAGTTGCATCTCTGGACAAGGAACCTCAGACCTGGGAAGGGCAAGTGGGACCCGCCCTCTGCGGGCGTCTGGAGGCGACCCTGCGGGCGTGGACCCCGGCGAGCTGCGCTGCGCGATGGTGGAAAGCTCGACTGGCTTCCCCAAGGGGAAGCCGAGGCCTCTTCCTCCGAATTTTTGGCACGTTCTTTGGCCTGCCTGGGACCTGAGTCTTCAGTCCTATACTGCACGTTTGTGTTTGTGGTGCAGCGCTCCATCTGGGACGTTAAAGGCAGGGACAGGACAGTGTGTTATTTGCCTTGACTTAGCAGACTTGCACGAAAACAGGTGCTCCGTAAACATCTGTTGAATGAATGACTGTTGATGGAAGTCTTACCAGGTAGCTTGCTCTGTCGTAGACCTTGGGGGTACAACAGTGAGCAAAACAGATGTATTCCTGCGATCATGGAACTTATATGCAGGGCGGATAGTTAATACAGTAGTTAATAGAGAGTTCTTTAGGGGCTTAGAGAGGTGGAAGTTTACGGTTTTAAATGGGGGGGGCAGGTGTTGAGGGAAGGTGACATTTGAGAAAGTCCAGAGGAGGGAGGATTCCAGACATGGAACACGTGTAAAGGTTTGAGCAGGAAATGAGGGAAAGCGTAGAAAGAGATGAAACTGGAGAGTTCATGAGGTGGCAGACTGACTAGGTGATGCAGAGCTTGGCCCTCATAGGGACTGACTTTCACTCAGTGAGATGGGAAGTCAGGAGAGGGCATTGATCGGGATGATGAGACTGAGGCGGGAAGGTCTTTCCACGGTGGCTACAGAAGCTGATATCCATGGGAACAGAAAGGAGCAGCACTGTTGGATGGAAGAGTTTGAGGATTGATGCCTAGAGGGCTAAATAAATAATTTTCTGGCAGCGGCCCCAGAGGGGCTAGGTGAAGGAAGGGAAGTGGTGGAATGTCTCTGGATATTAAATAAGGGGACTGGACTGCAATTCTCCATCTCCTGCTCCCTCCCATTTACAGCTGCAGGTGTTTAGAAAGAAAGGCAAGGTAGATGCTTTCAGGCTTAACTGTCTAACTTAAGGTCGGTCAGGATTTGTGAAATGTTTGGGAAGAAGTGGAGAAGCAATGAGGATCAGATCTAGAGTCTTTAAGAATAATTTTGTTTGAGAAAGAAAAATTAAACAGGTTGATAAAAATCTTGGAGTTAAATTGGGGGAAATTACACTGAAGTGTAAAAAATGTAGGTTTCTGGCCGGGCTCGGTGGCTCAGCCTGGAAGTTCATACTCCCAGGTAGTCTCCCTGACACTGGGATGGGTGGGAGTCAGACTCCTTATGGCCTAGTTCCCTACTTGGCCTTTTCTGGCCACCTTGGCAGGGGCATCGGAGTGCCTCATTAAAGCCTAAGGAGGGTGGTAATCTAAGCTCCCTCGCTTGGCCTTGGCTGGCGTGGGTGTGGGTGGGACTGTGGTTTTTCCTGTGATTTCTGGCTGGTGTAGAGCGGATCTGCCTGGGGAAGGGGGAGCGTGGCACACCTCATCAACAAGCGTACCTGCATAATGAACATTTGTATACCTAACCCTGAATTGTACCCCACATCTTTAAAAAAAAGAAAAGTTTTCTGTCTTGCTAGGTTCTCCCTGTCCTGGTCCTTTGGTTGGAGAGAGCAGGCTTGTGTTGAGGCTTTTTTTCCTGTACCTGTTGGTATTTCCAGGTTGCTGATTCTTAGATTCCTTTCTATATCATATCTTGATAATTTCCCCTTGAGTCTGCCACTCTGGGCAGTCTGTCTGACGGGGGCTGGCACAAACAGTTTAGTTAGTCTCATGGAGCAATTACATCCTTCTATGAACAGGGCCCTACATGGCAGGATGAGGCCAGCCTGCAGTGTTGACCTAAGCTGTGCCCCAGGGGCCTGATTTGAGCCTGCTGAACAAATCTCAGAAACCATCAGGGTATATCTTAAAAAGCAGTTTGCTTTCTCCTGAAGTTTCTCTGTTGGTCTTCCCACTTGGCCTGAGGCATCAATCCTGGCATGGCAGCATGTATCAGTGATTGTGCAGATTAGTGACTGCATAGACTTCACCTTGGCCCACAAGGAGGAGGTCTGGGGAAGTTCTATCATCTGTAACAACCCTGCCGGTGAGTCGGCTGCTGACCTGAATGCCCTGCAGGGCAAAGTGGCCTTATTGACCACTTGAGCTGAAGTTGGAGACAGATTTTTATACCATCTTTTAAATCAGATGATTCTCATTGCAGGGCAATTGCCCATATGATGCACATGAAATAATGAGTCAGTTAATCCTGTAGGAAGCTCCCCTGCATTAACCGCCAGCAGTCTCTGGAGAGAGTCCCATGGTCACCTGAGGGCTTGCTGGTGGTGGTGTCTGAAACACCTACAGGTGTTGTCTGACCACTCTTGAGATGTAAATAACAGTGTTTCTGGGTGGGGGGCAAGTTAATATTGACTTCCACAAAAAAGAACAGGTCTAGGGGTGCACGTGGTACTCTGGAAAGAAAGTGTTCTTCACAATTTACAACTGGGCTTTGCATCATTTGGAGGACACAGACTGTCAGGGCCTTTTGGGGCCTGCTGGTAGACCTAAGGGTTTTCACTTGCATTCATATTGTTTAGCCCTGGCTTTTGGAGGGCTCCCAGAGGGCAGTCAGCCTAGTATGTCTTGTTTGTCTCTAGTACTAGCAGAGTGTCATTTGTCTGCCCCAACAAATGACTCGGTGATGGCTGTGAAGATGAGTGGGACAGACACATGGAGATATTGACATGTTTTTGCGTGGGAGGTACAGAAACTGGCATAGATGCTTCTGATAGACTTCTTTTTCTGATAGACGTATTAGTAATGGTGACCAAATTGTGCTCAGAGCCATTTGATCAGTTGGTGGCAGATTCAAGCATCAGTTAACTTTAAGGTAGGTGTTATAGTGGAATCTTATTCGGTCTTTTAAAAAAGAAGCATATCCTGCCATTTGTGACAACGTGGATTAATCTGGAAGACATTATACCAAGTGAAATAAACCAGACACAGAAAGACAAATACTGCATGGTCTCACTCATAGGTGGAATCTACAATAATCAAACTCATAGAAGCAGAGACAAGCGGGTGGTTGCCACGTGGGGTGGGGGAGGGGATGGGGAGATGTTAGTCAGAGGGTATAAACTTGTAGTTGTAGGATGAATAAGTTCTGGAGACCTAGGGTACTGCATGGTGACTATAATTAATAACAATATGTTGTATACTTGAAATTTGCGAAGAGTAGATTGTAAGTATTCTTGTCACATAAAAGATAACTGAGGTGATGGATAGGTTAATCAACTTGATTGTGGTAATATTCACAGTGTATACGTATATCAAAACATTACATTGTATACCCTAAGTATATATCATTTTTTATTTTTTGTTTTTATTGTTTATTTATTTATATATATATTTTTTTGAGTCAGGATCTCACTCTGTCTCCCAGACTGGAGTGCAGTGGCACGATCACAGCTAACCACAGCCTCGATCTCCTGGGCTCAGGCAATCTTTCCTCCTCTGCCTCTCATGTAGCTGAGACTACAGGCATGCACCACCATGCCTGGCTAACTTTTTGATTTTTTTGTAGAGACAGGGTCTCACTATGTTGCCTAGGCTGGTGTTGAACTAATGGGCTCAAGCAATCTTCTCACCTTGGTCTCCCAAAGTGCTGGGATTATAGGTATGGGCCTCTCTGTGGCTGGCCTATTTTTATTGTTTTGAGACAGAATCTTGCTCTGTTGCCCTGGCTGGAGTTCAGTGGTGCGATTGTAGCTTACTACAGCTTTGAACTCCTGGGCTCAAGCAAACCTCCTGACTAAGCCTCCTGAGTAGCTGGGACTACAAGTATGTGCTACCATGCCCGGCCAATTTCTTTAATTTTTTGTAGAGACAGGGTCTCACTTTGCTGCCTAGGCTGGTCTCAAACTCCTGATCTCAAGTGATTCTCCTGCCTTGGCCTCCCAGAGTGCTGGGATTACAGGCACGAACCACTGTGCCTGGCCTGGATATGTGCAATTTTTATTTGTCAGTCATACCTCAGTAAAGCTGAAAAAAATTTAAGGTGCTCACACAGATTGGGAGCACCTCTCAAGGGTGTTTTGCTTTTTGAAGATGCTCCAGGGCAGTTCTGAAAGACAGAAGAACTTCAGCGAACCCTTCTCCTCACCCCTACCTCCTGGGGCATACGTTGATTTCTCCCTAGATGCCGAAGTTATTTCTCTCCCTCAAGCGCCACAGATCTGTGTGTTCTTCTCCGGTAGCTATAACTTCACCTTTTTTCCCAATCAACTCCTATTCCCTGAGGGGATTTTTATAAAACTCACAGAGACCCATTATGCCTTCCACTTTGGCCCACGGTGTATGCAAGCAAGTGGTAGCTACCCTTGTGATCTAGGACCACGTGAATCCAACCAGGGCATCCAGGTGGCTGGACCAGAATTAAGTTCAAATCCTCAGTCTCCTTTTGGCCAGCTGCCACATGGAGGGTGTACCAACCAGGTGAGCCTGGGGTTCTGCAGGGGAAAGAAGGGAGCAGTATGAACAGGAATGGTCAGGGTGGGATCCCAGAATTTCAGCTTGGTTTATATAAGCCCTTCCCCCATCCTTTCTTCCCTGGTCGTTACCCTGGTAACTGCTGAGAGGATGATCCCTTTCCAGGAACAGCCACCATCAGTGAACAAAGTGCCTCACTGTGTTATGCGGACCAGGAGGAGATGAGGAAGATAGAGGGAGGAATCTTTC